TAGAATAATATTTATCAAACACCCTGGAGAGTGAAGGATGGAAGGAAGAGAGGAACCAGAGCAAAGAGGGAGGTCACTGAGCTGAGAGAATGGGCAGGACAGGGAGCTGGTAAGTGGTCAGGAGGCCATGTGTTGTGTACAGGGGGGTTGAGAAACACACCTTCCAGTTAACCCCCTTTCCCACTTGGCTGGGATCCCAGCTCAGCCCACTCCATTGGGCTGCAGAAGATCAGTCTGAACTAGTTTCTTTTAATCAGGTGGCCCGGACACTGGAGGCCAGAGCTCAGCTGTAACCCAGAGTCATGGCTTAATTGTCAAGCTGTTAGCCAGACCTCACTTACTCAGATCCACCGGGCCTGCAGCTTTTTAAGAAAGTGACCATTAATCGAGTCTTCTTTAGAGATGGCCTCCAGGAGCTCCCAGCCCTGGGACATAGGCAATAAGGTTAAAAGTCTCAGGAAATCTCACTTAAACTGTCTCTGTAGATAAAAGCATGGCTATCTTACTCTTCTCTGTCACATCCAGGCCTGCACCAAGATGAGGGACCATGGTGGCTCCAACAGAAGGGACACTCACTTTAGGGTCCCTAGACCCTCTGTGTCCCCAGAACTTGCTGTCGTTCCATCTTGATTGGATGTTTGTGGAACCAGCTTTCTAGTTCACCCAGGGCCGAGCAGATTTCCCTCAGGGCCCTCACTTCACCACTGCTGACCCTTGAGAACTCTGTCCACTGTAGGGTGTTGAGTCCTGTTCCACCTTCTGGGTGCCAGTAGCACCTCCGTCCTTGCTTTTCATGATAAGCAAAATGCCTCCAGATATGACCAATTATCCCGAGATAGAAAGGAGGGAACAACATCACTCCACTCGAGTCATGATACAGGGTGAGTCCTGCCGACCAAAAGGTTTAGCCATGTCAAGCCACTCTTCCTCATGGACATCACAGAAGTAGTATGGACACTTTATAAGCACCCAGAAAACAAATCAGGGAGATCTCTCTCTCTCTCCCCAGTACTAGCTTTGATGAGATGAAACTTATCTAATGGAACAGTCATCCTTACATTTCCAAATGTACAAGATTGTGGTCTTTATACTTTCTATCTTAACGCAGCTGCCACCGTTATTTAAACTTTGTGCATTACCCTCCCCAGAGGAAAGCCTGTACCTCTAGCAATCCTTTCTCCATGGCGTTACTCAACTTGATGCTTTATATAAACCTAGCCTTTAGGGATGTGTCATTTTATGCAGGGTGATGTGTTTCAAGGTTCTTTCCATGCTAGGGTGTCTATCAATACTCCTTTCGTTTTTATGACCAATTCATACTCTATTGTGTGAGCCCAGCACATTTGTTTATCCATTCATCAACCAATGAGCATTTGGCTTGCTCCTACCCTTTGGCTGTTATCCATAATGCCATTAACCTTCTTCATACACAAGTTCTATGTAGATCTGTTTTCGTTTCTCCCAGGAGCAGGCTGGGTCATGTATTTGCTGTGTTCTTAGCATTTTGAGGAACTGTTAGACTGTTTATCAGAGAAGCTGTGCTATGTAAATATGTTTTTGTTTTAATTGCACCTGTGGGATTTTAGTTGGGCTATAGTTAGTCTACACCTGTTAACTGTCACGTGCGTGGGGCATGATCTTTGCCAGCTGGTAATAGCCTTCCACGTGAGGCACAGAGAGGGGCATGGTCTAGGACTCTGAGAGTATAAATGTGAGCCTGAGCAAGAGAAGGAGTGGCACTCTGAGTGGCATTTGGTGTTGGCGTGTGGCACATAGCAGTTTGCAGAGACCAGAGACCAGAGAGGGTGTGGTGGTTTGGAGCAGACAGAGGGAAAGAAACGCTTTGGGGCACAGCAGCGTGGAGGAGATGGCTCCCTGCATCTGTGGTCCACGGAGATTGGTATAGAGCTCTATAAGAACCCCTGGACTGAAAATGGCGGGGAGAAGTAGGGGGTCTGGGCTGCCTCTCCGCAGTAACCTTTTCTCTCTCCTACTTAAGGTTGGGGGGTTGGTGGAAGGGTGGTAGAGGCCTGAACACCCCAAATAAAGTAGAGTTTTAAAAAGACCACTTTAGGTGAATTTCTGCTACAGTGTGAAGAAGCCACATTAGTACTTTTTTGGCACTTGGCATTAACTGCCTGGTCATGGTGGTCTACATATGTGCACATGGGTTCCACAAGGAGATTTTGGTGGGCAGTTTCCCCAAGGAAACAGACACATGGGGGAAATGCCTGTTTGAATCTTGTGTCCATTTTTAAACTGAGGAGTGTTTTAGTGTTGAATTTTAAGATTCATTCTATATGCTGTTTGTTTGTTTTTAGGTTTATTTTATGTGCGTGAGTGTTTGGCACAAATGTGTGTGTGTGAGAACCTGTGTGTTCCTGGTTCCTGCAGAGGTCAGATGGGCATCGGTTGGGTCCCCTGACACTGGAGTTGTGGTTGGTCACGAGCCACCATGTGGGTGCTGGGAACCAAACTTGGGTCCTCTCCAGGAGCAGCAGGTGCTCTGAACTGTGGAGCCACCGCTCCAGCCTCTTATCAGTCATGTTTTACAAGTATTTTCTCCCATTCTGTGGATTCCGTCAGCTTCTGAGAAGGCTTCCTCTGAGACAGTGATGTTTTAATGTTCTCATGTTGCTGTTGCTTGTACTTTCAGTATCATGTGTAAGAAACCATCACCAGATTAAGAAACTGCAGTTCCTTACATTTGTGTTTTAAGAGTTTACAGTGCTTGCATTAACATTTAGATATTAGAATCCCCTTTGAACTGATCTGTATGTATAGTATGAGTTTAATATCCAACATGGAAAGCTAGTTGCTCTAGGAGAATTGTTTTTTTTTTTTTTTAATTTTTTTTCTCTACTAACGTTTGACATTTAATTAATTATTTTTTTAAAGAAGTGTTTTTTAATTTGTGTGCGTATGTGTGTGCCTGCATGAATTGATGTGATTCACATGTGCCTGAGGAGGCCAGAAGAAGGTGTTGGATCCCTTTGGAATTGGAGTTGCAGGCAACAGTGATCCATCCATCCTGGGTTCTGGGAACTGAACCTGGGTCCTCTGAAAGAGCAGGGTGCCCTCCTAACTGCCAAGTGTTTGCTCCAGCCCTAATGCTTGTCTGTCTTTTTGGAAAAGGATTGACTGACTATAAATGTAGGAGTTTGTGCTTGGGTTTTCAATTATATTCCTTTGGCCTACATATCTATCATAATTTGTAACTCAGTCTTTTTAATCACAGAAAGATAATAGGAAGGTGTCTTGAATAATTAAAAGGGTGAGGGAATGAAGATACCAAACATAGATGTGGGGTTGAAAAACATACATGAAAGAATTCAGTGGTAGAACCAGGATGGATCTTAAAGTTTGTTTTTCCGGTGTTTTGCTGATAGGAAAATTATTAAAAATTTAAATTATTTAATATGATTACTTTAATAGGATAATTAAATTTAAAATAATTTAAATTAATGTATTAAATTCTGTGTCAAAGACTAAGCTCTGCTGAAGGTCTGTGGCTGGTCAGTGGCAGAACTGGGAGTTGGATTTTTCCTGTGACTTTCTGGGACAATGCCTTTCTTCCTTCCTGGCCCCGAAGGATGGCTCTCCAGCCTGGCCGTGGACCTGGGCTAGCTGAGTTCTTCCACAGAGCACTTGGTTTCTGTCTTGGCTTCGCTGCCAGTTCAGCAGAGTTCACGGGTGGGCGGCAAGTGTTTGCTCTTTCTTTGACAGGCAGAGAGAATAGAAAGGCAGCTAGGGAAAAGCACGTGAGAATGTGCTATATATGTGCCACGGGATGATAAGACTGCCGACTGGATGCTCTTCAAGGGAGGCTCCCTGTGTCACAGGCAGCACAGCCGAAGGGAGCAACTCACTTAGACACATCCGTAAAGTGCGCCTTGGTTGCCACTCTCCAGGAGGGTGGGGCTCTGGAGCTGGACATGGGGATAAGGGAAGCCATCGGCAGGGCTGCAATATCTCAGCTGGAATAGGCTTTGAAGGTTGATGCTTCAGGGACAGCCTGAGAAGACAGAAGGGTTTTTGTCCCTCTTACAAAACTGGAGGCATAAGGCTTTCCCAGAAACTGGCATGATACTGACCAGGTGTGGTCTGGTATGGCTTGCCACATTCTTCTGCTTCCTTTGATCATCCCCAAATGTCCGTCTTTCCTAGAGCCAGTGGGTGTCTCATGGCAAATATAATGAGTGGTTCCTGTTTAAAACCTGGTGGCAGAGGGACTTGCTTTAATCTGTGGGTCACCAGAGGACAGAAGTAGGTACTTTCCCACCTGTCTCTGCAGTCATTGATGCCTGCTGAGTCCCCACTTCATGTATGTTTGGAAGTTGAAGCTTGGTGTGAGTCAATAAAGCCAGCGCTCTGGTCCCCACATCTCTGCTCTGGCAGTCCTTCTGTGTCTCTTCACATCCGCACGTGCCTCCTCCTCTAAACTGCATTTACCCCCACTGTCTGCACCATCCATGCATCCCACTGTTTATCTTTTGTTAAATCTGTGTTTCCTGTATTGGCACCTAGGACATGCTCTTCTTTAGAACAGAAGCTTCAGGCTGTATTTCTGTGAGTCACTGGTTTCTAGTACATGCTACATGGCATGTGTTTTGGGATGGAGAGGTTGAACCCCTGATAGAGAGTAAGCTCCTGTTATAGGGCCAGTGATGTCAGCTTTTTCCTGTATAGTCACTGAGGCTCCCAGGATTCTGTAGTGGCATATATGGGTATCAGGAAAACCAGTATTTTGAAAGGGCTTATTGTTTATAGATGTGGAATGAATTACTATGCTCACAGCCTTTCAGGGTCGTGCCAACTTCTCTGCTATACCCCTCCCCCACCAAGACCAACACCAGATGAAACTGTCCTTTGAGTGCTCATAGCTGTGTTTCTGGCTCCTTCCATAGGTTTTCAAAACAGGGTGCCTATGGCTGTAAGCTGGCTTCTTCATGGTTGTGTGCACCTGCTCAGTGAGCTCACTGTGTACTCTCCTTTTTTAGGGCTCTGGCTGACATCCTAAGACAACAGGGACCAATCCCCATAGCACACTGTGAAAGAGAAACCATCTCAGCCATCGATACCTCTCCCAAAGAGAACACACCGGTCCGATCAACCTCTAAAAACCACTACACCCCCGTGCGCACAGCCAAGCCGACTCCAGGTAAGTGGGTGTTACTCAGCTTGAAGTCACATTGATTCTGCTGAGAGCATCTAAGGGTGTTTCTGCTCTGGCAGGGCAGGCTGCATAGGGCTGTGCAGTGGTGGACGTCCTGACAGGACGGGCTTCCTGGGAAAGTTCGGTATGAGAGAGACCAGGTCTGGGACAGACAAGGGCTGATGGCCCATCTGTGGTTTCTCTAGTGGCTGGTGTCATTTTCTAATGTGGAATAGAGCTTGCAGCAGCCATGGTGGAGTATGGTTGTCCATTTACCCATGTGGCGGGAAGGTTTGTCACTCTCTGGGATGCTAGATGTGTGAGAATAAAGACTACCCTCTGGTGCAGAAAGTGCTCAGCTTTTGGAACCCCTAAGAGTACTTTCTGAAGACAGGAGTGGTATCTGCATTCTAGGGTGACCCTTTTATTTGTGAGATATAGGTTTCCCAGACATAGAATGAAGTATCCTTCTATGTAAGTGGGGAACTGGATCTGGGACATCGGATTGGTACCAAATTCAAGCCCCTTATATACTTATATACAAATGGCCTGGTGTTGGCATGGCAGCCCCACAGATCCTCCCGTACACTCTAAATGATCTCCAGATTCCAGAGAATATCTAATAAAATACCAACACTATGAGACTTGCTATGTCATGGCTTTAGGGAATAATGATGAGAAAAAGTATGTACCTGTTCAGTAAGGCCCAATTTAGGGTAAAAGCTTTGGCTCGTGGGTAGCTGAAGCCCATTGTGTTGAATTGTGTGACTGGTTGGATCCTGCAGTTGCATGTGTAAACTGCAAATGTGGAGGCCTGAATGTGCCTTTGACTTTTATATTTCATCATCATGATGACACTATGAAGAGACTGGGAAGGACTTATTTTCCTACTCTAATGGTTTAGTGAATGAAACTCAAGGAAATTCAGTAACTTGGACAAGATCATTAGAGCGTAAGAATAAGGAAACAAAACCTGTAAATACCAGTAATATATTGAACTGTTGATTTAAATCATTGATCAGAGTATTTTATAGGTATGTTATTATGTGCCTTTTGTAGCAATCTTGGAAATATTTATCTCCCACTTATGAGGAATATAAAGGTTGAGCAACATTTCTCAAGGTCACATGATTAGTAAGAGAACACCAGGATTCAAAACTAAGAGGAACTGGTTACAGAAGTCAGAATTAAAAACAAGCAAACAAACAAACAAGCCATTCTATCCTTCCCCAGCTAGGCACAGCAGTGTAAACTATCTGAATGGACAGCCTCCTACTGGTAAGTAGGTTGGGAATATTATAACCCTGTGAAAATTACCAATAGCTTAGTATTGACCCTACTCCCAGGCACAATTTCTGTTTGAATCTGGAAACTTTTTGAAGCCAGGTCTAAACTAAGCCTGCAATAAAGATGTACAGTCACAAGGCAGCAGTAGGTATGCCCAAACCCTAATTGTAGCCAAGATAAAATTTATTCCACGTATGCTTTAATTCTCTTGAATCTATCAAGTTGTTCTTGCCTTTAAGATAACAGTCTTAAATCTTTTGACCATCTGACAAAAGCTAAATGTATTCTCTAAATATATGTGTCTATGAATACAAACACATAAACATTCAGCCAACAATTTGTGAAGGAATAAAAGGATCTGTAGGACCCTCCAAATCTAGGAGTCCCTGCTTCACATGTAAAGATGAGTGAATTTGCTGGGTAAAACAAACAAACAGCAAGGCCTACTCAGATGCATTTTCAGCTGGAATACCCTAGATCCTTAACATGGAAGCAGTAGAGGGAATCTTGGCTGAATTGTGTGGAACGGGGGTCATCTGCTGGGCTTTGTATGCATTAGAAACACCTACGAATACATTAAAAATGGTGGTGTCCAAGAGCCGCAGAGTAGGCAGAACTTCCAGAGATGAGGCTGACATTAGTGTTTAAAGCTCTCCGCAAGGTGATTCTACCATGCAGCCAGAGTGAAGAGTCGCTGGTCTAGCGGGATCCTGTCCTGTTATGAGCAGAGACACTCAATGCCCAAATCCCTCAATTCAGAATCCTGTAGGAAGCCTTAAAAATTAAGGACACCTAAGCCCATTCTGAGATAGGAGGACTTAATTGATGTGGAGGGTGTGGTTTGCACACACGGGAGGTGTTTATAGTTCCCCCTAATGCAAAGTTTAGAATCAGTTGGCTCTGGGGATCACCCACTGAACACCGTTCCTAACTCTAATGTTCTCCCCACCTATGAGTATTTATTTATCTGATGATTTATCATTTGAAGTCAGTATCCCCCAGAACTGTGCTTGTGACTCTGACTCGGGAATTCCTGGCCGCGCAGGCATCAGAATGCCCCTGACTGTCGATTCTCACCCTTCTGTTCGGTTTTATATTTAAAGACGGATTCAATGGACTATCACCCTTGATTCACCCTTAAATATCCTTCACTGGGAAGGGAGCTTTCTCATTTCTTCTGTTATTTTATTTTGTTATCATGTCTTATCTTATATCTTATTTATTTAAATTCTTCTAGTGAGTTGAGAAGGAAAGGCATTTGCTTCCGTGACTCAACTCTGGTTCAAGAAACTCCTCCTTGGGGTTCTCAAATTACAACTGTCTGCTTAACGTTTTGAGAGGAGAACACCTGGGAAGCATTCGCACTGGTGAAGCTGAAATGTACAAGCGGTTTCACAACAAGCTACATCTTCTATAGCTTATATCAAACGGAATGCTTTTCCAAATAGCTGCTGTCCTTTGCCACGCAATGTTGCAATTTGAGCAGCCGTTTAAACAGGACTTTGGGCAAATATTCAAAGTGGAAATTTACTGTGATATTCTCACTGGTTAGATCAGCCACCCACCGATTGTAGTAAAGTGGCAGAGGTCCTGGATGGGCATTAAGCGGGCAGGCATCAGAGCGAGCGTGGAGTGTCTCTGCCATTCAATATGTTGTCCTGGGACCAGCTGCTTGGCATCTGCTGAGAATTCGTGAGCCTTGCAAGACCTGCCGTGTCCCAGGCTCTCACCTGCAGAACAAGACCCTGTATGTTGGTGGGAAAGCTTAGCAGCTTGAGTTTGAGAAACAAGGGGAAACATGGTTTTGCTTCAAGCACTCCTGAGTACTGTGTGATTCTGCCCTCTGACTTCCTTGTCAGCAACCATGGTTACTAGCTCCTGCTTCCTAGGTTATTCTTGGGGTGCAAGTTAAACCAGGTTGAGCATGCAGAGAGACCCCCTGCATAGCAAATGCTCATTATCAGTCATCAGCCAACTACAGGATCGTGTGTATAGCTCCTGGCAAATAGATCGAATGCATGAGGGAACCAAGGGAGACATGATGTTCTTAGGCAGGGAGGAATCTGAGGGGCTGTGTCTGGCATGACCTGGGTTTGGGAAGTTGAAACCAAGCTCCTTTGGTTTGAGGACCCAAGTAGAGAGCCTTCAGTGACAATAAAATATAATCCATGAAGCACAAGTACCACGCAGTGAGCACTTGTTATGTTTTGGGCACTCTGCTCAGTACCTTGTGTATAGCAGAATGGATCCTATGTCACAGAACCTTCTAATCGGAGTCTTTTACTGATACTCTTCTAAGAAAAAAATCTTACCAGCCTCCCAGGGAGCTGCACAATAGGCATTTACTTGGAGCTTGAAAATTAGGGAGGCCTATTTGTTCCCCTCCTCCCCAACTCCTCAAATCTAACTGCCTATTAAGCCTCACTGTTCAGTTGGTGAGTCACAGACCAGCAGCCACTCTCTGATGTGAGCTGGCTTCAATTCCAAGTTGTGGTTATACCTTGGGATTGTAAGAGGTTTATGAGAATATAACGCCTGGTCACAACTTGAAGATTCTCATTTATTTACTCTGAAGTGGAGCCTACGCATTAATGTGATAGTTTTCAAGATTCCCTACACCGTTCACCTGATCAAAACTGAGAACCAAGTTTCTAGAGGGAGACCTACAGAACAACCTTTTTTTTTTTTTTTTTTTTTTTTTTCCTATTTGGTGTAGAGTTCAAGGTCCAGACAAAGCCTCAGGATAGGGGTTGGTTGGTCAGAGTTAGTGGGCTGATTGAGAGATTCTCTCCTGGTGGGTATGGCTAGGGGTCATGGAGAATTCAGACATGGGGGAGAGAGGGCAGGTCAGTGTGCTTCTGAGAGGAGGATCATGGAGAGAAAGCAGCACAAGGAAAAACACCAGGATTAACAGGATGACCAGACAGGACAGTTCCAAGCTGTAACACACACTGTGTTGCCGGTCCCCAGATGTCATAGAGGCTTGACCCTCATACAGGGAAGCTGGGGAGACTGAGTATGTTTAGTTGGCCTGGCTTCTCACAGATAGCTTGTCTCGGGCTGTCTGTGAATAGTGGGATATCATTCCTGGAAATAGACTGCTATCCATGGTTTTGTTGTGTTGTTGATTTATTTTGTTTGTTTTATTGAGATCATTTTTCATTAGCTTTGAGCTTACCCAGTTGGTGGCTAGGCTAGGAGGCCAGCAAGCCCCGCTGCCTATCCACCTCCATACTCAGGTTCTCTGTTTATTTTGTATTCCATGAGTGCTGAGATGAAACTTAGGTCCTTGTATGTGCAAGGCAAGAACATCACTGTTTTCCCCATTCTTCCAGCCCTTGTTTTATATATTCTGACCTCAAGGTATTGTCTTCCTCTGTTGCATGGCCCTGAACTTTCCAGCACCAGACATTTGGGAAGTGACATCAGTGCTCAGAGAGTCCTCCTCATCTGTTCACACTGCCTGTTCTACTGTCTCTAGAGAACCTGCCCCAGCTAAAATCACTCATACATGATCATTTGTTCCCAGCCCCCGTTTCTATCAGAATGTAAGTTACATTCTGTATAGGCAACGACTTTATTTCTTCATCTAGCCTCCTCAAACCAGGAATTGCCACAGGAAGTCCCTAGCTGCTTGGTGCCTGATTGGTAGAAACTACATGCAAAATAATGGTGTCTTTAGCTAGTGAGTTGCAGGGAGTATGATCGGCTCCTCAAGT